GAAAACTGGCCCCAGCAGAGCTCTTGTGAGGCGGCAGGGTAGGGAAAAGCTGTTTTCTCATCTTCAGTTTTCACCACCAATAAACACACCTGCAAAGGGCTGGAGAGGCTGGAGGAGAAGCTGGGGGTGGGGGGCAGCACCCCGTGAGTTTTGGGGTACCCTAAAAACTGGCCCTAGCAGAGTTCTTGCAAGGCAGCAGGATATTAAAAACCGTCTATTTTCACGTCTCCAGTTTCCACCGCCAACGAATACGCCTGCAAAGGGCTGGATAAGCTGGAGGAGAAGCTGCCCATCCTGCAGCAGCCCCCGGAGAAGGTAGTAGGGTGGGGTGGGGTGGGCAAACACACTCAAGGTGTTGTCGTCCCCCCCAGCGCTGCTTAACAGAGGGTTGTTCCCCCCCCACCAGCTCATCTCGGACACCAAGCAGCTTGTGACCTCCACGGTGACGGGGGCCAAGGATGTCCTGACCAGCACCGTGGCTGGGGCCAAGGACGCGGTGACCAGCCGGGTGACGGGTGTGATGGACATGACCAAAGGAGCCGTGCAGGGCAGCGTGGAGCTGACCAAGTCGGCGGTGAGCAGTGGTGTCAGCACCGTCATGGGCTCGACCGTGGGCCAGATGGTGGTGAGCGGGATGGGCTCTATGCTGGAGAAGTCGGAGGAGCTGGTGGACCATTACCTGCCCATGACGGATGAGGAGCTGGGTAAGGAGCTGATCACAACCCCCTGGAGATGTGTCATGGGCTTAGGGGTCCCCTTGGAGAGAGGTGGGTAGAGCCTGGGCAGAGCGATGTTGGCTCTACAGGGGGTTGGTAGCGGTGGGGCCACTTCAGCAGCTCCTCTCCCACAGCCAAACTGGCCACGGCCGTGGAGGGCTTCGAAACGGAGCAGCAGAAGCAGCAGCAGAGCTACTTTGTGCGCCTGGGCTCCCTCTCGACCAAGCTGCGGCACCGAGCCCTCCAGCACTCGCTGGGCAAGCTGCAGAGCGCCCGCCGCAGCAGCCAGGACGTGCTGGCCCAGCTCCAGCGCACCCTCGACCTGGTAGGACCCATCCCTGTGTACATTCCCCCCCATATACCACCCTGGGGTTGCAGCAGACCCCCCCACGCACCAGGCTCTGCCTTTTCTCCCAGGTGGAGCACCTCAAGCAGGGCATGGACCAGAAGCTGCAGGGAGGGCAGGAGAAGTTGCAGCAGATGTGGCTGGAGTGGAGCAAGAAGCAACCGGATGGTGGCAAAGACCTGGTGCCACCAGAGGTAGGTTAAGGGCAGGGGGACCCTGGGGTAAGCCAGTGTCCCCCCCCCTGACCCTTCACCACCTCTTTGTGTCCCCCCTCCTTGCAGCAGGTGGAGTCGGGCACCCTGGTCCTGCTGCAGGGCTTGACGCAGCAGCTCCAAAGCTCCTGCCAGCCCTTGGTGTCCAGCCTCCAGGGTCTCCCCACCAGCATCCAGGACACGGCAGGGCAGGTCCGGCAAAACGTGGAGGAGCTACGGGCAGCCCTCGCCTCCGCTGCCTCCCTCCAGGATGTGACGGGCAGCGTGCTGGCCCGAGCCCGTGCCCACGCCACCAAAGCTCGCCAGCTGATGGACGAGCTGGTGGAGCACGTGGCCCACAACACCCCCCTGACCTGGCTGGTGGGACCCTTTGCCCCCTCAGGCCAGCGCCTGGTGGACCTGGAGATGAAATAGCAGCTTCTGGGGTGGGGTGATATTAGTGTGTCCCCTGCCAAGCCTCGTTAGGAGCATCTACTAACCCCTGCCTGGCCCACCTTGCCTATAACCTTAGTGCCTGACTATACGGGGGACCCCTCCTGCCTGCCCTGTGTGCAGCTCTGTCCCTTGTCCCCTGTGCCAGGGAGGTGCAGTAACGTGCCTTGGTTCCCCCCAAGTGCCTCTCGAGGTCACCTCCAGCCCCCGGCTGGATCCCCCGTGTCCCTTTGTCCTCGGTGCCTTCAAGCCCCTGGTCTTGTAGCGTTGGGGACGGCTCGTGAAGCAATAAACTCTGGTTAGTTTTGCACTGGACTGAGGCTTCTTTGGGGGGGTGGGGGAGATAGGGTGGTGGTGGAGGTCCCTATGGCTGCATCCCACTTCAAGCAGGGGCTAAGTGATGATGTCATAGCCCTGCCTGACCTCACAGGGGCTGGGAGGCACTGAAGGGGAGAGCCTGGTGCTGAACCCCCAGGATGCCAGCCTCTTCCCCCTCTCCCTGAGCAGAGCCCTTGGCTGAGGGTGAGTGAAGGGGGGGGTGCTGGAGGAACATCCCCATCCCTCCTAGGCCTGAGGACCCTCATGTCCCGGGCCCCACACCCATTTCAAGCTGAGCAAAACCCCCTGGCCTGTCCCTTGCCCTAGTGGGACCAGGGCTGGCCTGGAGCAGAACGCCCCCAGCCCAAGGGGCACAGACAAGCCCATCCTGGGGGGCTCAGGCAGCAGGGTCTGGCAGTGGGGTGTGCAGGGTGGGACCTTTAATCCCACTGGGAGCAACAGGCAGCACCCTCTGCCCCCCCCCATCCCATGCAATGTCACCCACCTCCCCAGTGACGATAGCCCCAGGGCACCGTTCTCCGGCATGGGGCTGCAGCGTTGACAGCAGCAGGTCCGTGTGGGGGCTGAGCTGGACCCCAGGGCCCCCCCAGTGTAGCTCAGCCCTTCACCCTTCACAGCTTGCCATGAGCTGGCTGCCCACCCATCCTGCCAGCAGCTCCCCCATGCACCCCAGAGGTGATGGGCACCGAGGCCAACTCAGACCGCCTCCTGGGCAACCCCCCCCTGGGCTGCCCTGTGGGCATTGGGGCTCCATGGCACCCACCTGCACCCCAGGTGTCAGCCCTGTGCCCCCCAGAGCTGCCTGGGACCCCCGTGGATGAGGCCACCCCGCAGCCATCCCAGCAGGTACCCTGTCCCTGGGGGCTGTGCCCCTCCTTGGGGTCCCGCAGGTCCCTGGAGGGGATGGTGGCAGCATCTCAGGGGTGCGTGTCTGACGGCAGCCCCCATGCCCCCCAGGCTGCTGCAGGTTCTGCCCCGAGGGGTTCCCCCACTGTGCAACTGGGAGTCCCAGAGGACACCAGTTCCAGCATCCCCTCGGTTGTGGCCACCCCTGGGTGAGAGGCAGGCAGGTAAAAGAAGACCCCGGGATGCTGCTGTGGGGTCCCTGTGTCCCCCTCACCGCAGGATGATGCTGGGACCCAGCATCCCATGTCCAGCCCTTCTTTCCCCACAGTGGACGAGGCTGCGGAGGGGCTGGATTCGGCCTCGGCAGGGATTCTCCAGCACGGCTGCCTCCTTCCCCTCGGCTCCCTCTCCGGTGACGCCAGGAGCCGAGCCGTGGCCTTGGTGCAGCAGAAGCAGCTGGACACTCCTCACTGACTTGCCCAGCTCCGGCACATCCTTGACGTGGTAAGAGCCGCCGGTTCACGGTGCTGGGCTTGGAAGGGGGATCCCCCCACCCCAGGAACCCCCCATACCCACGGTGCCGTTCCTCCCGCAGCTGGAAGCCATGCAGCAAAGCTCGGAGCACAACAGCCAGGAGACGCAGCTATGTGGGAACAAGGCACAGGCAAAGCCCTGCCCATCCCCTGCTTCTCCCGGTACCCAAGCAAGGCCGGCCGAGGGGTGTGGGACCCCCGCGATGTTGCCGGGGCAGGCGCTGGTCATGAGTCGGACGCTGGCGCAGGACCTGCGGGATGCCTTGGTGCAGCTGCGGGCTCAGGTCAGGCAGCTGCCAGCCCTGCTGCAGCAGGCAGCGTGGCGAGCCCAGCGCGGCGTGGCCGAGCTCCACGGCACTTTCAGCCGGGTCGAGTCCCTCTGGGAGCTTCTGGGGACCGTGGTGGCCCGAGGACGTGATGTGGTGGCCCAGGCCTGGGAGGCACTGGTGGTGCCGTGGCTGGAGGCTGTCGCCGAGGCTGCCGGCATAGCAGTACCACGCGCCGCTCCGCCGCACCCCCAAACCTAGGGGTGCCCCAAATACAACCAGCCACAGCCCCCCCTCCTGTGCGAGGGTCTGAACCCTTGCTGCATCCTCAGTGGCACCAACACGGCTCTGCTCACGTTCATGTCTGCGTCTCGGTGTTATTCTGTCCCCCAGTGCTGCCATCTGCGACGATGGCAATGAGGGAATTTGGGGTGGGGGAGGACAGACAGCTTGACCTCGTATCCACCTTTAAATCCCCCCTCCTGGGCAGGAGGTGACACGTCCCAGTGTCCCCATCCACCTTCCCCAGCATTGGGGTCTGGGTTGCCAACCCCCACGTCTCCCCAGCCTGGGGAATGGGGCTGAGCGCCAGCCCTGCACCTGGCAGCAGCATCCATCTCACCCCATCTCAACCCCCGCCTCCCGCTTCCCGGCAGTTGGGCAAGAGGCACGCGGGGGTTTTTTTGGGTTTTATTTGGGTTTTGTTTACGGAGGGCTGGAGCATGAAATCAGCCCCGGAAAAAAAAAACCAACCACCAAAACAAACCAAACAACTCTCCCCAGGGCAGGGTTACAGCAACAGCAGCCTCAAAGTGGGGTCAGGGCATCCTCCTCCACGGCACAAACAGGACTCAAGGACGCAGCGTCTGGTTGAGCTGGGAACATCTTTATTTTACATATACAAAAGCTTCGGATCTTTGCAAAAGAGCAGCCAGCCAGCCAACGATGCTGCCCAGCACAAGGCAGGATGCTGCCATGGTTCAGTCCCTCCCTGGGTGAGTTAGGAGAGAATACACAATTTTTACTCTGTTTTTAACCCAAAAGCTGGTGCCCAGCCCTGCTGCCTCCCCTGGAGCAGAGGGACCTAGCTCCAGCAGCTGCCTCCAGCCACAGAGAAGACGATGGTGGGGAAAGGGGCTCGGAACAGCAGGGAGAAGCCCCAGCGGCAGAGGCAGAGCCCAGCACAGGCGCTGGAAAATCAAGCAGAAAGCAGCCCGGTTTGGCTGTCCTGCTCCCCTTGCCAGGGCCCAGCTGGGACAGGGACACCCATGGGTGCCTGGTCCTGGCTCATAGGGTGGGCCAGGGCCAGAGGACAGGGGGGGACCCATGGAGGGAGGTTTCCAGTCCCAGCCCTGGGCAGGGGGATGCTCCTACCCTCCCCTCGTCACAGTCAGCGATGCCTCAAGAAACAGACACTAGGGCTCCTTGTATTTTTCATTAAAAAACCCTTTATATTCATTTCATGGCGGTTGAAATCACAAGAAATTAGGTAGGAGGGAAAACCAAAAAAAAAAACCAACAACAAAAAAAAAAAACCAAAACAAAAAAAAAAAAAAAAAAGAGGGGACAAGTACAGACAACCAGCACAGCCCCCCCGCGGTCGGTGCTTTCGCAGGGCCGGGGGCACAGGACAAGACCTAGGACATCAGCTACTGTGTGACTTAGTGAAGTAACTCAAGCAGGGGATGAGGCAGAGGCCAGTCTCCCTTCGCAGCCCTTCTGCCTCCTCCTCCTCCGGGCGGGAGCTGCTTCCTCAGCTCTCCTCCACGTCATCCACAGCCTCTGACTCCCCGCGAGCCTTCTCCCGCTCCGGCCCGGCTCGCTCGGCCTTGGGATAGTCCTGCACGCTGCTGGGGGAAGAGCACAGGCACGTCAGCGAGCGTCTCCCCTGCCTGTCTGCCTTCCCCTGCTTGTGGCAGTCTCTCTCCCGCACCCCAGGTTCCTTCCCAAGCTGGGAAAAGCCTGACAGAACCCACAAGACCCCCTCCTCAAATCATAAGAGAGCCTAGCTTGGATGCGCATCAGATCCAGGGGAGCTCCCGAGACCCCAGCTCTGCCCTTCACACTCTCACTTGTTGTGGGTCTCCTCGGCAGACGCCTCCGGCTCTCCGGCTCCCGGCCCTTGGCTTTTGTCCTTCTCCTCTGTGCCCTCCACTTTTTGGGACAGGGATTCACCGTTCACAGGACCTGACAAGTCTAAAGTGAAGAGAGAGGGTCAGACACTTGGGTCCCCATGGTGGACCTCATTGATCCCGACCCATGAGGGGCTGGGCAAGCCGAGGACCCATGGCCACAGGTTGTCCCCATACAGGCAAGGGACATCCAGCCAAGACCGAGGGGACCCCAGGTCTGGCCTGACCCTGATAGCTACAAGAAGGGCCCCAAAGGCTCCATCTCCCAAGCTCAGAGGCAGACATCAGAGTGGATTTTCCCCATGAGCTCCTCTGGGAAGGCTCTTGCAGCATCACCAGGACGACCCCAGGCAGGGACCCGGCTACGAGGATGGAAGATCCCAGTCACCAGCTGCCTGCGCAAGAGCCTGAGCCAGTGTCCAAGGGCGTCTCCACATTCCTCTGTCTCCCCGGTGCCTTGGACCAGCGCTCAAGCTGGCAGCAAGGAGCCATCCTGGCCCAAAAATCAGCCCAGAGGCACCCACAGCCAGGGCGTAGGCGTTGAGGTTTGCCCTCTGCTCTCACTGCCACGAGCATTCAATATTCAGTCCTTTCCCACTCTTGGCACTCCAGCAAACAAGGGACTGGAGGTGCCACGCAAGGCTGCCGATCCCCTCCACCACTGAGGCCAAGAGCCACCCCTGTTCGTGTCCCAGGTCCCCAGCAGGATATGTCATGCCCTGAAAAGGGCTCCGGGATTGCTACATGCCCGGACAGAGCAGGGAACAGTCCCAAGACGTGCAGGGAGCATTACCAGCATTCGTCTCCTCTTCACCCTTCTCATTCCGTGTCTCCCCTCCTGACAGCTTCTCCTGGCCCTTCTCCGCCTCCCCCTTGTCCTT